AAAAGAACAAAAAAAAAAAAAAAAAAAAAAAGGACAGCCTAGGGCCAGCCTTGCTGGTGGCTAAACCCCCACCTGCTGACCAGCTTCCATAGTGTAAGAAACAGTAAAAAGAAACACACACACACACAGCGGGTGCCGTGTCCTTCAATGAACGCAGAGAAAAGGATTTTACGGAGAGTACAAAAATCCTATTTTCTCTTCCGTTCATTGAAGGACAGCATAGCATAGAGATCGTAGATCTGGAACCATAGGGACGTCACAAAGCAATACAAAATGAGGGGTGGGCTAATGAAAACAATCCCCCTCCAAAAAACAACCACCTAAGGAGGCAGTCTGCTAAACCATGCGCCCACAACTAGCATCTGCAGATGGCAACATATTAGCTTCGTAGAGTTTGGAGAAAGTATGGACAGACAATCAGTGCCCGCCTTGCAGGTCTGAGCAACAAATACTACGGTGAAAGGCCCAGGACGCCCCAACAGCCCTAGCAGAATGAGCTCTGACAGGGAAAGGAGGTTCTCGACCCCTCAATGCATAGGTCTGAAGGATCATATTGCGAATCCATTAGACCTCTCCTCTGTCTTTTACTATGGACTGATGCTGAAAAAGCATGTGATAGGGCGGACTAGGTTTTTTTGGAGAAGCCCTTATATGCATTTGGGCTGGGAACTAAAATACGGTTCTGGATATCAGCACTCCCATAGTAACCTGGAAGCTTGAGTGAGAGTCAATGGCTCACAGACTTCTCTGTTTGAAATGCGTAATAGAACGAGACCAGGATGTCCATTGTCTCCACTAGATCGAGCAGAGTAAACCTTTCCGGGAGAAAATGTTTCTCTCCCGGGTATCCAGGAGCCCCTATCCAATAGCGGGAGACTCCCGGAACATCCGGGAGAGTTGAGATGTCTGTATTGAGGTGCATCATAGAGGAAAAACAGGGAGACCCGTTAGTTCAGTTTATTGTAGATCAGCCATTCAGAGCCACCAATACTGTTATCCTATATTGGGATGGCGCTGACTGGGGAAAGGGGAGCACTACACACTGTACCACGCAATCACACCTACCATGCGCTCTGGTGTGAGAGGTGCATTGAATTGCCATTTGAATGGCACCCCAAACGCATCTCCTACCCACAGTTCTATTGCCCGCATCAGAACGCGTTGTACCGCAATGCAATGTGTTCCATTGCAGTGCAACTTGGGTCACGACTTAATAACTGGGAGGACAAAGGTGGGTCTTGAGGGTAAAGGCACAGGCTGGTGAAACCTGTTTGTTGACTCAGACCAAAGTGCAAAACGGGACACAAAGGCTCCAGAGACGGTACACATGGTCCTCAAAGTCAAAAAAGCCTTGAAGAAAATCACCATACCCGGGGTGCATGCGGTTCCCAGAGGAGGAGCCAAAGGCAGCAAGTCGATTGGGGCAATGAAGCAGGAGTACAAGACGCAAATAAAGGGGGGGTGAACCCCCACAGGGGAGGCTGTGCCCCTTACACAGTACCATCGAAACCTTTTCCCTGTCAATGGCATAAAAAAGCACCCTTTCAGGCACCCACTCAAAGCGCCGCAGGAGGGGGGAAAACTATCAGAGACCTCACGGCCCAGCATGTGTGCCTCCAGGCACCAGCAGTACCCCCAGAGAGAAAAAAAGATTGTCCCCTTACGCGCGCAGGAAAGAGCACCTCCTCAGAGTACAGGCAGATCTCCAAAGAAGGGAGCCACGCCTTCTACACCCAGGTCGCAAGCCACAGCTGCCAGCCGTTCGAGCGGAGGACAAGGAGCATTTTGCAAGCAGCCTGGACCCCTCCAACCCCGAGCACAGGAAGGCCCTTCCATAAACCCCCTGCCTGAAGGCCAGGAGCCGTTGCCTCCCGCCACAGCTGCGGACTAGAGTAGCAGTCCACAGGGAGGCGGCACGGCCGCATAAAGAACACGGCCACGATGCCACTAGCATTTAACAACCCGGGCCCAGGGAGTCCAAGTCAGTCCCCCTCAGCAAGGCTGCCAGAGACACAGGCAGCATGATAGGAGAAGCAGTAAAAACTGCCGGCTCCCACTTACCTCAACCAAATGGACTGACTGCAGCAGGACCCCCACAGCACCACATGCTTTCCCAGGTGGGGGAGCAGCAGTAAGGTCCGGCAGGGCGGCTTCGCCAGAAGCACCAGCGAAGTCGACGCCAGCAGGAAGTCAACAGAAGCTTGAAAAAGACATGGAACGTTTCAGCAGCCCGCTAGCTGATGGAGACACCCCCAACAGGTGGGGAGGGGAGAGCGGTTTGGGGATCAGCTATAAAACGAGGAAAGAAATAGCTTTAAAGAAAAAGGGTAGCAATTTCATTTAAGTATGACCCTTCTAACCATATATAAAAAAATAAAAATAAAAAGGAGAGGTTCAATAAATCACTAAGATTTTTAATCAAAAGGTTTCTTTCTTACGTGCTGCTGCAAAGAGAAGAGAGAATACACATACATGCACACCCTGCACACAAAGGGGTTAGTTTGCCCTATTAAAGTTTAACTCTGCAAAAACAATCAAGCATCCATGCAACCACTCTCAATATCAGGTTATGTTTTGTTTGTACATCAGTTTGTTAACGTCGGATGGCTCTTTTTTGACAGTGTTTACAGCCTTCCCAAACACATTTAAAAGCTGTGTCAAACATGCACATAAATTGATTCTCATTAGTTCAAGTGCACAATTCAGAGCAATAACCTGGTTTAGAGGAACAACAACTGACCTGTGATTTCTAGAATAAAACAAAATACATTAAGTAGTGAGAAAATAAATAAAAGGATAGAACAAAGCTGGTGGTAAAAAGGAAAACAAAAAAAAAACATCTTACCTCTTTCAAGCCTCTGTTTTTAATGTTGAGTTTCTTGGCATTCACAAAGTCGAATAGTTTTCCATATTCTTCTCTGCATGGACACAAAAAGTAAAGCAAATATAAATAGCAGTCTTGATCCATAATTCATGCCCTATTTAAGGTGGAATTAAAGCCATTTCATATCTAGGTAAAGCAGACCAGAACTAGACCATCTGTCCAAGTGTCTCCTACCATTGTAGAAATGTCTTTTTACTTCCCATCTTAGACACATACCAGGCTGAGAGAGGAACCATTCCCAAAAATTAGGGGAAATCCTATTTGTGATCGTGCCCAGACAATCAGAAGTGATACATTTCATACATTGTAACATTGTGCCTGAAATGTATCACACAGGTTCATAGACATTGGGCCGGTCTATGGAGCTGTCAAAACGAATAGCAGAGAGGTGACTCACTCTGCTACCTCTCTGCTATCTTTAGCTGTCAAATACCAGATCATAGCGATCCGATATTTGTATGTAATGGCTTCATTATTTCATTAAATGAAAGAAATAAGCTTTTACAAAAGCTTAACTATTTCATTAATGAATGCCTCAATACTGAGGCATTCATTAAAGGAGAACTATGAGGCGAGTGCTTTTCACTCACCTCCTAGTTCTAGCTGAACTGTGACAATGAGACTGTCACAGCTCGGCTCAGTAGATCGGGACATGAGCGAACACATAACGGTGTTCGCTCACTTCTCGATCCTGTCACAGCTCTCTGCTGTGACAGGGGAGGGACTGGATTCCCCCCCCCCTCCCTCGCTGACTGGCCGAACGGACGGGGAGGGTACAGCTGGCTCTGCCTCTGGATAGGCAGATCCAGACATAATTGTCGGATCAGCTTCAGCAGCAGCGTCTCCGTATATCGGGAGCTGTGGCTCGCGGTATACTGCTGCGTCTCAGCGGTATACTGAGCTTAGTGTGACGGGAGGACGCTAGTTTGTGTCCTCCCGTTACCCTAAGGAGAACTATGGGGAAAAGCCCTAAACCCATAGTTCTCCTTTAATGGATGGTAACCGCTGAGAATCAGCGGTTTCCAGCATTACAGAGCCTCCAACTGGTCACGTACGGTGTGCGTGGCCAGTTATATAGGCACTTCATGCCTATACGTCTCCCGTCACAGTTATATAGGCACTTTGTGCCTATACGTCTCCCGTCACAGTTATATAGGCACTTTGTGCCTGTACGTCTCCCGTCATAAAGGGGTTAAAGAGCAACTTCACCCCCCTTTTTTTTCTTCAATTACAACAAAGGCACTTTTAGATAGGTTTAGTAATGGCAATCTACAGATACTTTGCATGCTTTTTATTCTTTGCACAGCTTATATTTTTTTGTTCCTCCCCATTCTTCTCACAGAGGACATTTTAACTAAGGGCAGATGAATCCATACCCCTTTATTTCCTGGAACTTTGGCACATGTGACAGTGCACATTATCTCAGGAAGGGGGACAAATGCCTTACACATGAGATTTTGCAGTTTACATATGGGATTCCCCTAGCAATGCACTACTGATGTGACTCCCAGGATACATCTGTTAGGTAAAGGCTACATCACTAATGTCTAAGAGGAAGAGCAAGTTAAAAAAAGAAAATTTGTTTAATGAATATAACATTATTTTATATAAGCATCAGGAGTTGTGTGCTGATGTGATTTTTCATGAAAAGGGAGTAAAAGGTACACTTAACCCCTTCATGACTGAGGCCCTTTTTTCATTTTTTGCACCCATGTTATATTCCACATTTTAGGCCTGAAGTGGTGGCCAAGTGGACAGTTTAGACATAAATATTGCTAAATATTGCTTTCTGGAGGAGTCTGAAAGTTGGCAACATAACCTCCATCATGACAAAGAGCACACCCCTTTGGCTCTTAAATAGTAACGGGCTGGCAACTGGGGCCAAGTACAGGAAAATTGAAAAAGGGCTGCTTACATGAATACAGTGCATCTGTTAAAAACCGTAAAACACACAAATTGCATCAAGTAGACATGCTGATAGTATTATTTACAATACGTTACCCAATAAGTTCAAATATTTATCACTAGATTTTTTAAAAACAGGATTCCCATTCACTGACCTTTCAATGCTGCTAAAAGTATACTGTGAACCTTGTTTGGTCTCTATTTCAAAGTCAAAGGATCGTGTTGTCGTGGTACCACGGGCAAAATTTACACATTGCACCTCATCAAACCGGACATGAACTGGTGGCTTGTGAACATATATGAAACCTCGTTCCAGAGGATACAGCAGTCCTGAGCTAGCTTTGTAAGAACATGTGATGCACTGAGCTCCAGAGTGCCTACCAAGAGAAAACAAATGTTAAAATACTGTATTGCCCTGTAACAAATTACAAACCCAAGCAGACATACATACCGCAATATGGCAATTAAATGACCTGTAAAACACAGCAGGCATTAAAGCAACACTAAATTCATCAGTTAAATCCTAAAAATGCATTCAAGTACCTTAACTATGAACATAAGTGTAGCTTATTTGTATATCACTCGACTGTAGATACTCAAATTATCCATGAATTTGTGCTGACGCTGTCCTTCCTTCTGGAGGGTGGCTACTTTTGTTGCCCACCATGGGCAACAAAAGTAGCCACCCTCCAGAAGGAAGGACAGCGTCAGCACAAATTCAAGGATAATTTGAGTATCTACACAACACCCTGTGTGTGTTGTCAAGTAGCCACCGCTCCAAGCTCAATCCTGTGAAGGACTACAATATCTCAATACAAATTAGTAAACTAAACGTGAGGATTGTAGTGGAATACAGTCCTTCCAAGATGTCTCCCAATTTACAAGCAGACCTGAATGCACTGCTAGACTGGGCATCTATAGGGTAAATGACGTTAAATGCTGATAAATGTAAAGTTATGCACTTAGTTAGGCACTAACAACATGCATGCATCATACAGGAGGAGCACAATTGGGGAAGTCAATGATCGAGAAGGATCTGGGTGTTCTGGTAGATCATAGACTCAATAATAACATGCAATGTCAAATTGCAGTTTCTAAAGCAAAGATAAATACTAAAATACTTTAGTATTAAAAAAGGCTTATAGACTCCAGAGAGAGAGATTAAATCCTACCAATGTACAAAGTAGTAATTAGTAAGACTTCATCTGGAATATGCAGTTCAGTTTTGGGCACCAATTCACAAATAGATGTGAAACTGGAAAGTGTGCAGAGAAGGGCAACTAAACTCATAACAGGCATGATGGAGCTCAGATATGAGGAAAGATTAACTGAACTGAATTTGTTCTCTCTGGAGAAGAGGCGATTAAGGGGGAATAAGATCACCATGTATAAATACATAAAACAGTCCATAAGGTGAGCTTGGTGCAAAATTATTCACTTCAAGGTCACTGCAGACGACAAGGGGGCACTCTGTGTGTGGAGGAAAAGCAGTTTTACCTTCACATATGGTTTTAAAATACTCAGCGCTATGGGTCTCCTGGAGTATAGTGAGAATCCAACAATAATAACTTATTAAATAAGTGGTATAAAAATATAAATATCTCTAAGTGAACATCTTATTATGTGAACAACAAAAAATTGCTGAAGTGATATGTGAATGTGTGTAGCTGAAGTGATATGTGAATGTGTGTAGCTGAGTCTGCGCCGGCACCCGGATCCTTTCGGCCAGCGCTCTTTCAGTGAACGCAGGCCGAAAGGATTGTGCAGGATCATCAATCAATGCAGACCTCATCAATCAATCCCCGACAGACCGGGACAGACGTGCCGCCTCCACCCTGCAACAAGGTGAGCAGGAGAGGGGGCTCTGAATAGGTGCCGGGGGGGGCTCTGAATAGGTGCTAGGGGTACACGGACTGGGGTTGTTTTTATATATAGATCTATATAGCCTATGTCAGAGATAAGTAAATCGAAAAAGCCTGAGATTCAACTAAAATTGGCTGAATTTGTGTTTCCTATACATATTCCTGCAAATCAATGGATATTTTGTCAGTGTGTGTGTGTGTGTGTGTGTGTGTGTGTGTGTGTGTGTGTGTGTATGTGTGTGTGTATGTGTGACCTGCAGGGTGTCAGGGGGTCTCTGCAGGGTCTGTGGGGGGCTTTGCAGGATCCATAGGGGGCTTTGCAGCCTGCAAAGCCCACCACAGTTCCTGCAAACCCCCCTGAGATGCTGCAGGATCTGTGTGGCGCTTTGCCGGGTCTCAGGGGGGATTTGCAGGATTCAAAAGGAGGCTCTGCAGCCTGCAAAGCCCACCACAGATCCTGCAGAGCCCCCCTGAGATCCTGCAGGGTCTCAGCAGGATCGGTGGGGGGCTTTGCTGGGTCCCAAGGGGGCTTTGCAGGATCTGGGGTGAGATCTGCGAGGTCTATGGTGGACTGCAGGGTCTCAGAGCCCACAGAGCCCACCAAAGATCCTGTAGAGACCACCGCAGAGCTCACATGAGACTACAGCCAGGTGGGATAAATTTAGTGTATGGGGGGGGCGCCCGAGTTTTGTCTTGCCTAGGGCAGCCCCAAACCTAAATACACCACTGGTTAACACCAAATGCACGCTAGTCTTTTAGATGCGTTTTTGGCTAAAAAAAATATATATTTTTTTTTTGTTTAACATGGGCTTTCAGTGCGTTCCAGGCATTTGCATGCGTTTTTGATGCATTTGAAGATCCAGAGCAGGTAAAATAGGGCCTGCTGAAGTTTTTTTTACCTGCTCTGGATCTGCACACTGCGATGTGAACTGGAGCTAAAAATACCATAGGAAGGGAATATCTGATTGCCTTTTTATTTCGCCCTGTTGGAGCATGCTGTGAACCATGCTTTACAGTGTATTTTGCATTCCTCTGGATCAGCTGTAGGCATAGGGTTCTGTTTATAGAGGTTTTTCTATTTTTTTTCTCCCCCCCATCTATAAGGATGAACTCGATGGACTTCTGCAACCTGACTATGTAACAATACTATGCAACTCATCTTTATTTTAAATCCCTTCCTCCTGACCCTAGTCAGGGAAAACAAATAAGGTAACAAATTACTACTCACTCCATGCCTAGCACTGCCTTCAGATGTATAGCTAAAGTGCCCTTGTCATTTTAATGTAATCAAAGGAGGTTGAGAAAGGTAGGCAATTTTGTATTTATTAACAAAAGTTGTAAAACATTTTGTAGGTTTACCCGTTTCCATTTTTTTGTTTTAGCAAAATGCTAATTTGCAGCCAAATTGTGATTAGCACCTACTTTATATGTGTAACAGGTTTCCATTCACATAGCATAACTTTAAAAAAAAAATTAGGAATTGAAGCATACCTTATTTGCTGAAAAAACTTCACTCTTCCTTTTTTATAGGATGGGGCTGAGGAGTCATGTTTACTATAATTAGCCCTGTTTGTACTGTGATAGCATCTCTTATTTTTCGAGATGTGCACACTGTCTAACAAAGTATTAGTGGTCTGGTGCTACAATTGCATGCTACTACACTTTTTATTTAAAAAAAAAAAGAAAAAGCCCTACGTGTCCCAATAGTGCAAAGGTAGGCAAACTCCAGCCCTCCAGCTGTGGTGAAACTACAAATCCCATCATGCATCTGTCTCTGGGGGTCATGTCTGTGGCTGCTAGAGTCTTGCAATGCTTCATGGGACTTGTGGTTGCACCACAGCTGGAGGGCAGGAGTTCTCCTACCCCTGCTATAGTGTATTGTTCAGCAAGTTATTCTGGAAAATGTAAGCTGCCGGTAGAGTCCGGTTTATAAATGTGCCCCAAAGAATATTTCTTGCCTTTCTAGTTAATTATTTTTAGGTATGTAAGTGAATGGGAACACACAAAACATACGGGAGGGGGGTGACAGGAAATACACATTAAGGCCCCATTCACACAGGAAATCCTGGGATTCCTGAAACAGGAATCTCAGGTGTCCCGTTCAGATCCGGCCGCTGTACCAATTCCAGTAAAATAACAGGATGACAGTGACCGCATCTGTAAGTAGCAGGCCACATGTAATCGTACATGCGGTTTGGAATAGATCACTCTTCTGTCAATTCAGGTCAGCCAATCTATGAGGAAAGATTAGCTGAACTGAATTTGTTCTCTCTGGAGAAGAGGCGATTAAAGGGTGATATGAACTCTATGTATAAATACATAAATGGTCCATATCGTGAGCTTGGTGCCAAATTATTCACGTTAAGGTCACTGCAAAGTACAAGGGGGCACTCTTTGTGTCTGGAGGAAAAGAGGAGGTTTAACTTTTGCATACGGAAAGGATTATTCAGTTAGAGCTGTGAAAATTTGGAATTTTCTAGCTAGCTTAGTTAACAGATGAATTCAAGAATGCACAGAACATTACTGGATATTGAGTTCTTATAGGTATATCAAGCATCAGAGATTGCCTTATGGGATCAGGAAGGAATTTTTCCCCCCTGTTGGAGCAACTTGAACCATGCTTTATGGGGGGGTTTTCTGCCTTTCTCTGGATCAACAGTGGGTAATTGTGGGCACAGCATTCTGTTTAGGCTTTTCTTTTCTTTGCATATCTCTATAGGTTAAACTCGATGGACTTGTGTCTTTTTTTCAACCTATGTAACTATGTCATATGACTGCCACTGGATAAATCTAATCTAATAATACATCTAATTTGCATGTTTTAAACCTATAGTTTCCTTTAGCATCTTGCAAAAAGTGGCTGTGGTACATGTAAAGATGCGGCTCTGAATTGTGAAAGAATTAAAGTGGTGGTAAAAAGGTGATATTTAATTATTTTTTGCAAGTGCTCATAACACACCATCCTCTCAATAACTCACCCTTGAAAGTTTCCAGGCACAGTGATCTTCCGGTTCACCAGGGCCTTCATGACACGACTAACCATCTCATACAGACAACCAGACATGTTCTTCTTCAACTTTCCTTCGAATCGTTTCTCGACCTCCTCCCTGGAGATAAAAAAAGAATGTAAATTAGGCAAGCAAAAAAGAATTGGTAAATGGTATTATAGTCATCAATGGATAGTCCTTTCTAAAATATTTTAAAACAATTCTTAAACATGTTGCACTAAGACCTCACTGACATGCCATTGAGGACATTCAAGCCTAGAAAAACAAAAAACAAAGAAACCCAAAAAGCTATTTTTAACTATAAATTGTTGCACACATTGGACACTTCACAATTGGTAAAAATAAGGTAAAATTGAACTCCAGCTGTATGGGGTTTTTTTCTTGAAGAGTAGGAGAGGTTGGAATCTCTTGTTATTGCCAAGTACCTATTTTAGAGATTCACCCATATTTCCTGCCATGGTTACATCTGCCTTCATAAACAGAATGAGAGCAGAAGCTATCAATCTCCAAGTGTCGACAAGAGGTGGTAGTAATGTGACCGATATCTCTTGCAGTTTCCCCATCTCTTCCTGTCGCAATGGCAACTATACTAGGAGAAGAAGCAAAGTAAAATCTCCCCGATGGGTACCAGACTGTAATAAAAATCTATCGGGCACAAGGGGGTCGCCTACAAGGATCTATGTACATCAATTTTCTCACCAACCCTGATGTTGGATTGAAGAAATCACTAAAGCACATGAAGAAAGTCTTCTAGGATGAAGAATCCCAGTACAGATTCTTAGGTTCTAACTCCTTGTATGTACCTAGCATCCTACTCCTGCAGGTGGCACTATAACTGTGTGTCTATTTGTATATGCAAACTCTCTGAAATTGCAAGTAAAAGATTTTGCATGCATACTTGCAAATCTATAACACAGCTGTAAACCACATGGGAAGGGACAACACAGGACAGGACTCCTGGTCCTGCACTGTGCCTGCAGATAGACACTTCTGCAAAAGCCACAATACATATATTATCAGAATATTTGCATTAACAAAAAAAACAAACAAAAAACTTTAGTTCCGCATTACAATCTAAAGTTCAGCTAGCTAACAGGTATCCACAGTTTAATGTGACAAACCCAGAAGACAATAGTGACTTCAGCTTACACTTTCTGATTAGAAGTAGCGGGGCACTTCTTCACATGTGATGGTGCCTAGACACAGTTTTTCCAGCCTCACAGCAATGCGTCAGGCCTTCCTACCCGTTCCTGCTTCTCATTACTGGATTAAACTGTTCCGCCCAGGGGTTGGGTCTAGGAACCGGAAAAGCACGAGACGAGACACAGTGCAGGTGCAGACTGCTTGCTGCTTTATCATTTAAAACGGTCTTGTTTCATACTATATCTGTAAAAAATAAGTCAAGGCAACTGGACTTGCCGTATTTTTTTTAAAGACGTTTCACTGGTCATCCAACCAGCTTTCTCAATTTAGAATTGAGAAAGCTGGTTGGATGACCAGTAAGACGTCTTCAAGAAAAATATAGCAAGTACAGTTGCCTTGCCTTTTTTTTTTTACAGATATACCATGTCCTGGATGAATGAGAACCATCACAGACATATTGTGTCATACTGTTTGAAGGATAAGATTGTCTGTTTCTAGGTCAATTTTGAACAAAAAGGTTTAACTTGAAAGTGAAAAACAGAAGATATCATCGAAGATCAAGGTGAGGGTAAAAGGACAGGTGCAGTAAAAAGTATCTAGAGATGTAATCATTTATATTCGCATTAGCATAGCTTACTCGCTCATATTGAGGGTCAAACTGATTTCTTCATCTTTGGAGAAAAGTAGGATTAGGAAGTGATAACGAGTTTGTCCCTGTTTAATGGGAGGGTCCAAACTGATCTGCAGGAGAAAAAAAAAAAATAGATGCCATTACAAACTATGTGGATTTACTTCCACTATTAAATGTATATCACTCAGCTACAACAAGCATTATAAGAATAATATGAAGAAACAGTGGAGAGGATACAAAATCCCTTTCTGTACCACTTAGCCAACAGAGATCAAAGCTGGAGTAATCCTGTAGTCCCAAGGTTCTTGGAATTTTAGGAGTAGCAGGACATCTATATTCCAAGAGCCTGGCATATTCAAGGCCAAATCTTATAAAGACTTTAATCCTTTCACTGCCAGGGATGTTTTTTGCATTTATTTACAAACAATAAAATGCAGACTTTAGGCCTGAAGATTTAACCCACCCAGAACTATATATTTCCTGAAAGCAGAAACCCTTTAAAATGGTGGCAGTTGCAATTTATGTTGCATTATATTAGAGCAACGGTTTATCAAACCCAATTTCTCAGTTTAAAAAAATGCACTTAATGCATAATAGGGGAATAAATCAAAACTGGAGCAAACAGAGTCCTGGAGAAGTTCTTCAGGTAAGCTTTGAAAATTAAAGAATCTGATTGGTTGTTGTACACAGCTGCACCAGATTTTATCTGCTCCAGTTTTGATAAATTTCCCTCAATATATTAGCCAATTTTTTTGTAAAATATTAAAAGATGAGTAAATGGATACCAAACATTTCAAGTTTCAAAATTGCATGCGACCGCCACCCAAATTTGCCTACAGATGACGCTTTTAAAGGTCATCATTTTAGTGTTAACCGTGAATAGTTGGCGCTCGAATTATTGCTCACACTCCAGCATGTGCGCCAATACCCAACATGTAGCAACATTATCGTTTTAATCCCTACACGTGTTTGAATTAGCATGCACATGAAGGCAGGGGCCTTTAAAAATGTGTACTTTTTTTTCTACTTTGCTTACAAGTCCCCTAATGTGATAGCACTGACGGCTTCTCTTTAAGGAGACATTAGGGTTCTACCTTTGCAGCACATTAAAGCTGGTCAAACACAGCTCGCCAGAGAGGTGAGGTAATAACATCTCGGAAACTATAAGTGACAAGCTCATTGTTGCTTCCACGTTCATTCAACAAGCAGGAGGTCAATGTACGGATGTTTGCTGGTCTCCCTCCCCCGTTTCAGCTGACACCTGCCATGTCATCCCAGGCCTGCAGGAAGGGCAGCGGGCTGAAAGCTGACCAGGCTGCATTGCATAACTGCACCAGGGAACAGCCTTGTCACCAACCTGGCTGTGCTGCCTAGCAGATCTTAGGGCTGGCTTAAGATCCTTTAGCAACTGTTCTAATATATATATAATTCAACTTTGTATTTGGTGTTTTTCCCCAGAGCACTTTAACCCCTTCATGACCGAGGCCTCCCACCCCCCACCCCCCGTTTTTTACACCTCTGTTATAATCCACATTTTAGGCCTGAAAATTACTTCAAAACCCCCAAACATTATATATTTTCTGAAAGCCAAGACCCTATAGAATAAAATGTTGTCAGTTGTAAATTTTTATGTTGCACGATATTAGCGCAACTCTTTATCAAACCTAAAAATTTAGTGTTAAATGCACTTAAATTACCCCAAAACACAAAATACCCATTTTCTTTAAAATATAAAAGATGAAATTAGAAATGAGTAAATAGATACCCAACATGCCCAGGATAAAAATTGTGTGCGTCCGTGAAACTGCAACAAAATTCAGTACCCCCAAAAAGTCCATAGACGACGCTTTAAAAGCACTTACAGGTCATCAGTTTAGAGATGCGCATACATTTTGGCCCTAGAATTATAGCTCTCACTCTGGCGTGCACCACACTACCCAACATTTGTAGCATGATCATCGTTTTCATACGGCGCACCCAACGCGTTTATGTGAAGCTCACGGGGACTTCAAAAAAATGTTTACATTATTTTTACATTTATTTTATATTTTTAAAAACTGTTATATATATTTTTTTTCACTTTACTTTAATTGCTATCACATAGGGGGCTTCCAAGCCCATGTGATAGCATATTAGCAGTGACAGGTCTCCTATAAGGTGATACTGAGGGTCCAAAAGACTCCTGGTATCACCTTTCTACTTTAAATAAGCTATTGAAGTGCAGATCGCACTTCAATAGTTTATTGCTGGGCATCAGGAGCCCAGCTATGGGACCGGAAGTGATAAAATCTGCATCGCTCCCGGTCCCATAGTGCGGGAAGGAAATCGGTGAATGTACGTTCGCGGCTCTCCTCCCCAGCTTCCCACCGACACCCGTAGGAGGGGCAGCGGAGTTTAGGAAACACGGCGGGGGTGTCGATCTGGCGACAGCTGAGTCGCCAGAATCGCTTCTATTGTAAAGTCAACAGTCGGCTTTACAAATGTAAACAGTCTGTTGAAACGAGCCTGCTGCCAGTGACATACATAAAAGTCATGATTTTCTTTATTTTAACAATCAATAAAAGAAAACGGAATACGTTTAACAAAAGCCAACCACAACATCTTACCACAAAGAACATCTGCCTTTGGTCCTTGTGCGGAAGAAGGAACAGACGTAGAACTGTTGTGTATGGAATTTTATAGTCAAATGTTTTTCCATGCAAGTGAAGAAAACTGGGGTAGATTCGAATGTCATAGCGACCTCGTGGAGTTAGGCATTGTAATTCTCGGAATATACAAACTGCATCACCTGTTGCTTGAATCACATCTGCCTTGGACAGCACATTTTGAGCAAATGCCTTAAACAAAAAGCAGAATGATTAAAGACTTCACAGAATGTTTTATCCAGCATATCATCCTGTAGATCCATGTGAAGTAATACCGTGTTTTAGGTTTTCACGTAACATTTTAAAAATCTTGCCGTATTTCTCAGTCTAGCAGACTGTAAACATTCACATCTGTGGTTAAAGGGTTTCTAAAACCTCAAATTTTTTTTGCATATATCTACTGCTAGCAAACACTATTGGTCCCCAAGCGACTATTCCACGAAACACCTTGACAGCACATGCATATGTGAAATGGAAAATTGATAACTTTACTTAATATCAGTGTTGGATAATGTAATTTATTGTGCATTTTTTAATATTCATTGAATTTATGAACTTTTATATATTGTCCTTTGTGTAATACCGTATATACTCGAGTATAAGTCGTCCCGAATATAAGCCGAGGTACCCAATTTTACCACAATGCAGCTCGAAGATGTAAAGGGTGACACTGTAGGTAATGCAATAGGCTTGTTACAGTGTTGTCCCCCATAAATCAAAGTATTGCAGGACTGCCATATCTGGCATAATCACCAAACATGAAACTAGACAAAGAATATGATGAATGGGAATAGGCTCATTGTAGTTGAATAACCTTGAATGTAGGGATGTTCAGATACCAAGCATCCCTGTTTTAATGTACGATATATATATATATAGATATCTATATATAGATATATAGATATCTATATATATCTATATTAGGGATGCACCAATACCATTTTTTCCAGACCAACTACTAATACTTGTCTAAGTACTCACAGATACAATTACTGATATATTTTTGTTTAGTGTCATGTGACTGTTTATCTAAAGCAATACAGACTAATGATTCCAGGACAGTGGTGGGGCACCAGCTGCGACCCTGGTAGTTCATGAAAATCCCAAGTATCGTCACTGGTATCTAAACATCCCTACTTCAATATACTATAAAAAAATGTTTGTTTTTCACTACACTTCAAATTGGTGAATGATTGATAAAGAATATTACAAAATGGATGAGTCTAAATTTGTGGAGATAGGATCAAGTACACCATACTGTATGCGAGACAGACAGCAAATAAAGGGCTAGTGGAGGAATATATTTTTGCTTTCTTTCAAGCTTGATGGGTAAAATTGAATGGTATGAGGCTGATATAGTGTTGGTAAGGTGAAAGGTTTACAGAGTGCAAAAACGAATGAATAAGAAATGTTACAATTATTTTAATACAGCATGCCACTCTCCGAGATCAGTGCTTGACCAGTGCAAATGTCATCATGCAGCAGAACAAATCCAAAGCATACTTCTAAGCTATGCAAAACCTATTTAGGGAACAAACAGAAAGCCAGAGTACTATCTTCAATAGACTAGCTTGTCCAGTCACCAGAACTCAACACTAAAAGAGATCACATTGAAAGAGCTTCACCGTATAAGGTCAGAAAAAGTGCCCTAGAAGCTAGATGCATATTAGGGAAAACCTAAAGAAGGCATGGGTTAAAGTTTCCGCCGATTACCTTCAAAGTTATTACAATGCCAAAAGGTCTGCAAAACTCTAACAGCTCCAAATAGAGGATTTTGTATCTGTAATACTGTTATTTGACTAAAAAAAGATTATCAAATAACAATGTTTTTTTTTTTTTTTCGAAGCCCGTGGACGTGCATCAAACTTCCCCCTGTGAACAAGCAAATAACAATGTTACTGCTCCATTGGAAAATTTTCACAACGACTGCTATTAAATAAAAAATTTTGAATGCTGACAGCGGGAGAGAAATCTCCAGCTAGCTAGCTTAGGGAGAAAAAAAAAAAGGAGCATAGCAGATTTAAGAGATAAGATGGGAAGTGTGATGTCCAGCACCCCAAGTCAGCCCATGGGTTAAAAAGATGGGTTTTTTGCACTGGTCATAAAATCCTTTTCTCTTTGTTCTTTGAGGCACACAGATGAGATCTTGAACCTCTGACCTGGAAGCACCACCTCAGTCACAGACAATTGGTCACAGACATGACAACCAAAGGAGTTGCTGTGTCCTTCAATGAACACAGAGAAAAGGATTTTACGGCGAGTATAAAAACAAAAAATCCCATTTTCTCTTCCGTCTATGACCACTGGGATATCCCAAAGCAGGGTTTACTGAAAGGTGCGACCAAAAACTAAACTCCTCTCAGGCAGCAACAGCACACACTCGCCTGTACAGTTTCAAATGAATTAAATGCAAAGGGTCCATGTCAAACCGAAAACATGGCCCTGGAGCTTCCTCAATGGAGCTGAGTGACAGTTAGGATGTTTTTGCAACTAGAGATTGACAAGTAAGAAAGGCCAGGTCAAAAAAGGGAAAAGAACAGTAAATCCCCAGAAAGTATTTCTCAATGAAACCCGCATGAAAAGCAACAGGAACGTAACCCTGTCAATGAGAGCAGAAAATCCCTGTGCGATGTAAAGGGTAGTTCCTGGAGTCAAGAACCAAATGCAGATCCCAGTAATGAGGGAGAATGCATAGGGAGCCACAAGAGAGACACCCTACACGAAAATCCTTAATCAAAGAGTGGAAGGTCTGAAGTCTCTGAAAGGGGCTCGCTCCCCTGCAAAGAATATACAGATGTAAAAGTTATTTGCTTTGCACCAACTACTACTGTGTACAATAGTAGATTTAGCAGGAAGTACACTTCCTAGCTTTGAGCAATGTGAGAATCAATGATTCTGAGATGCCTCTGTCCCTCGGGATCTAGGCTGCTGTTTAAATTAGCGACTGTAAAGTAGCATAGAAAACCAGCCCCAAGAGAGAAGATCAGGAAGCTTATGAAGAGCCTATGAAGCAACTGCCAGGAGTCTGATCAGGAGGGAGTAGCACACCTGCTCGGTCAAAACCAGAGCATCGAAAGGTCACCGTAAAGCTCTCCTCCTCCACCAGAGCATAGATCAGGCAGTATGGATCCCAGAGAACTACTGAAGCATTCTGTGCTGCCGCCAGAGAAGCCCCATACTGGGAAACAACCAGACCAGGTTATGAGGTTGAAGCTGGAGGCCAGCAGGTCCACATCCATTTTCCCCCGGCTGTAACCTAGTTTGAGAAACATGGCCAGGTGCAGAGGCCACTCCCCTGCATCCAGGCGCTACCAACTGAGGCAGCCTTCCTTCCAAGCTCCCACACCTGAGTTTTATACGGTGGAAAAGACAGGAACGTGCAGTTTTGCCTCTCTATCTCTCTGTCCCTGATGGACTGGCAAAAAACAGACCTTGTGGAAAACATGGAAGTTTTGGTCCCGACAAAAAAAAAAGGAAGGAAGGAAGACCAGGGTGGCCAAAATGAGCAGATGCCCCCTGTTTTGGTTAGGGGGCTGAACAGTGTAGAACAAAATCCCTCAAACCATTCAGTGTAGAACAAAATCCCTCAAACCATTCTGCTACAAGAACTGAGGCTAAGAAAACCTACTGCAAAACGTCCCCAAGGGCTCGGATGGACTGGTGTGAGGTGTAGGCTTGGCCTAGGATAGGAACTCTGCTGGGCCACCAAGGGGAAATGAGCCTTCCCTGCCTAGGCTTCATCTGCTGGGGTAGATGGGCACTCTAACTCCCAATTAAACTCTTATGAAAGTGTCCAGGGCAGCTCCAAAGAAGACCCTATACCACAAAAGAGCCTGCAAATCAAAGCACTTCAGCGAATCAGTTCAAACAACTATCCAGGAAAAGGGGAACCCATAATACCATCAGACACCTCTAGAACATCATCCTGCCACTCCGTGCGTGGCCTGAGGAGGGAGCCAGTGCCACAGCACAAGAGGTAATCTGCACTGTTTCATGCTCCAAAAACTGTACACCGATGCACCCTGGTGTATCGGGGTACAGTTCTTGGAGCATGACAGTGCAGATTACCTCTTGTACTGCAGGTCCGCACCAAGTACTTGAATTACCCAATACAGAGCACAGCGTAGCAAGGGGAATAAAGGGAAAAATGTTTGCTGGATATTAGCTATAGCCAAGTAGCCAGCACCATGATAAATAAGCATAATTAGTTACTCATTTGTCACATAATTCTGCACATTTATGATGCCTAAACCTGTGTGTGTTTATATGCAGATGTTACACTATTTTTGGAGGTGTTGATCGAGTGTAAGAATGGTTCTTTAATATTTGGTGAAATCAAATCTGAAACAATCTGTATGGACTACTTTGTATGTAAGGATAACGTAAAAGAAGTAAGGTGCAGTTGCCAATTAGAATCTACTGAGGCAACAACAGCAAAAGTTGAACTCTAACTGGTTTCTAACTAGGTTTTGCACTGCTTTGAGTTAGCCCATTTATTCCCCACAGATGTTAAATTATTTGACCAACTTAGTGCCTTCTTCTTTGGAAGTTTACCTCTACAGGGTCACCACCATCATCCTGTGTTGGAGGAACATAGAATCGAATCTCCATAAGAGAGACATCAGAGTCATCATTCTGGTGGAATTCTAAAGTCACCTCATTCTTGCCTGTGGCGCACTGAGACACATTACTGAGAGGCAGTTCGAAGGCTGGCTGTTCTCCAATATCAAAGGTTAGCAGCTGTCCTAGAAGAAATGGCACACAATTAAGGCATGATAAATCTTCTACATGGCAATCAGTACACCCATTCTGCTGATAAAATTCTGTTGATAAAATATATTTTTTTTGTTTGTGCCACTGTCTGTGCTGAGCATAAAGTTACACAATTACAGATTTAAATGCAATCCAGATACAACTTCCAGTCAAGCACAGAAAATACACAAATGTTGGAGCATACCAGTTCTTAGATTTGGTGGCTGCCTTAGTTTTTTTTAATTGAGGCTTTCCCCCTCTTTTCACCTGGTAATCCTGCAAATATTACTTCCCAACCCTACATGGCTACACTTATTTCCCTATTAAATCTATGGAGCCAGTATGTACCATAAAATTATTTTTGAAGGACACAGGAACAGCAGAAAAATCATATATAACTGGGTTATATTTTTGCCTTTAGGAGGTCTGGACACCAAAAGCATATCCTAGAGTGCAAAGTGGGACCTGCCAGGAAGAGAAGAGTTTTGGAAAGGACCTCCATACACTTATCGGTAGGGTCCTTCCACCTCCATGGTAAGGCGAGACACAGCCAGATCTACAGAGGGAACAACGATTACAACAAAATCTGTACAAAAACAGTACAATGCCAGCAACCAATGTGAACGGCCTATTAGGACGCTTCCTGTCATCATATAGAAACAGTTGGAAAGGGGGGTGCAAAGGGAAGGTCTTTGCTGCCTTAGGGGCCCTATATGACCCAAGGCTGGAAATAGCACTGGTAAAAGCAAAAGTCTGAACTTCCAAGTCTCAAAGTGGTGCACACTGCATCAATAATAACCAAAAACAGTCTCCTTTAACCTAGGAGTACGAGCACTAGATTACGCCTAAGGAGCCAATCTTATCCCACACCTAAGGAGCCAATCTCATCCCACAGAGATTTGAGCTACTTAGAATCAGTCTCTGAAAATGAGGGTTCATAAGCCACTAAATATGAAGTGTAAATAGAATATGCGAGTGAAGGAGTAGGAGTCTCTGTGATCTGAGTCAGCAGATAACCAAGTCAAAGGCAAGCATAAACCTCAGGCTAGAGGGCAGAGAATCCAACAGAGCCAAAAACCCTAAAGCAACACAAACATCAGAAGACAACATGATTCCACGCTGCAGGCATTGGCAATATTAAAAAGGAGAACTATGTGGTCAGTGTTTTTCCCCATAGTTCTAAGGGTCACGGGAGGACACAAACTAGCGTCCTCCCGTCACCCAAAGCTCAGTATATCCTGAGACCACCGCAGCCGGGACGGATCCCGACAATGATGTCGAGATCCACCCAGCTGCGTGAATGACAGCTGGCTCAAGAAGTGAGCGAGTGACGGTATGCTTTGGCTCACTTCCTGATCTATTGAGCCGACATGTGAGTTTCATTGTCACACGTTGGCTTGAACTATGAGGAGGAGTGATTTTCATTCACCTCATAGTTCTTTAAACTGTTTTGACAGCAATAGCTAGATTAAAAGAGGTATATAATCTTATTAGGACGGAAGGATCATTTAATTGCCCTCTAAATGCGAGTAATAATGAAAACCGCCGCATTACTGTCGAGATCCACCCAGCTGCGTGATTGACAGCTGGCTCTGCTGTACCCGCCCCCTCCCCTGTCCGTTCCGCCAGTCAGCGCTGGAGAATTGGACAGGGTAGGGGGAATCCCTGCAGGGAGCCGTGAGTGACAGTCACGGATCTCTGCAGGGACAGGATTGAGAAGTGAGCGAGCAACGCTATGTGTTCGCTCACTCCCCGATCTATTGAGCCGACCTGTGACAGTTTAATTAAGCTCGAACTATGAGGCCGAGTGATTTTAACTCACCCCATAGTTCTCCTTTAATGGGTGCTCTGCAACTATTCCCTGAACCATTAGTAGAAAGTGAGCTGGGGGTACAGCGGAACCCCCCTATGACTAGAATCGGACATGCTGCATCTGCAGTGCTTCAAGGACAGGACAAGTGCAGATGCAATGCCTCTAGATCTGAAAAAACCTCTGTAGCTAAATTTTACCAGAACGGAGTCTGAAAGGCACCAAGGGCTGCTAAGATGGACTTATGTCAGGCGTGGGCTTAGCCTAGGATAGGAACTCTTCAGGGCCACCAAGGGCAAATGAGCCTTCCCCGCCAGAGTCGTAGGCTTCAAATGCTGGGATAGATGGGCACTCTAAAGCTGGGGATACACTATTCTAAATTCGCACAGAGCGTGCCGCTGCTAGCACTCTTTCTGCCAGAATCGCTCGATAAGCTGATCGAAGGAGCTGGTTGGCCATTGTCAAAATATAAAAGGTAACAGCGGGATTCCTCAATCAATGCTTGTAAAAGAAGGAAAGGGGGGGGGGTTTAATACTAGCCCATTAGTCATATGGATCCACAACCACATCTCACAGGCTGCCCTTCAGTCCAAACAGGAGTGTCGCAGCCGAACCCGCGCGTAGCAAGGATCTACCAAGTACCAAGCATGGGGGAACTATAAGGATTTAAATTATCCAGCTTGTCACCCAGCTCAGCACTAGTTTGAGGGTTTTGAAGCCTGAAAAAATAATAGAGAAATTCCATGTAAAAAGAAAGAGATCTTTGATTCCCAGCAGGGAACTTAGGTCTTTACTCCTTGACAATAGACTAAAAACTGAGGTCTGGATGTGGTACGGTCCAAAAGCCAGGCTGGGATCGATCGCTCCAAATAGCTGTCCATCGGTAGCAATATAGAGTCTTAATTGAAGGGGAAAACTTAAGAGGAGGGGGAAAAAAAAAGCCTTTGCATTGGCATATCTGAAGAAAAGACATCCATTCTCCTAGCAAAGAAAACTGAGGCATGCTGGTAGTAAAATGGTTATCCTAGGCTGGCATACAATTTTTTTTGTTTTCCAGAGTCCAATCCTCCGGTAGGTGGTTGTATAACCCCAGAGGTTAAAGAATTCCTGTGCCCCTCAATGACTAGAGAAAAATTACATTTTTGAATTTGCCCATAACTCCAATTTACGCTCCAATAAGGAGTGTTACTGAGCGTGAACAGACAGAAGAAAATTGACAGACAGGATTCCTCAGCTCCCGTTCTTTAAATTTTAATTTTTAGCAGCTGGTGCAGGCACTCATATAGTTAGTCAGATCTGGAAATGTTATCTGGTAAACATCGGATAATTAATATAGTTCATTCATTTAATATTGAAGGTACACTTAAGCGTCATATAATTCAGGCAGCCAGCATAAATCATAACTGTGTTATTTGTTGCAACTACGAGTAAAATGCCCTGTGCTTACAGCCCATTAGAAAGGCAGACGCAAAGCAGTCTGAGATGCCCTCAGCACAGCGCTGTCAGGAAGAGTGAGCGCTGATGAATGGAGCACTGTGCAAAAGGAGTCTTGGACCACTGTGTTGAGCAGTATTTCAGCTCTCCAGCGTGCTGCCTGCACAGGGCATTTTAACCGTGGCTGCAGCAAATAGTAAAGTATTGAAAAAATAAAAAGGATGCCCACATTCTTTACTGTTTATTTGGCCTAACAGTCCTCCACAGCCGCCGCTGTCATTCCCGTTGCCAGTCCCTAGATCCGCTGTGCCCGATGCGGTCGGGACCGGCACGGCTGCTCTGTGACAGGAGATAAAAGGGAGGTCAGTACACGATCTCCGAATGCAGGAAGTGATGTATATTACATCACTTCGGCATTCAGCTGTCATTCTCCAGCTACAGAAGCTGGGGAGAAGCAGGTGTCTGCTTCATCAGCTTCTCTGGGGGTCCCTAGGTGACATTAGGGGTCTTAGAGACCCCTGATGTCTCCATAAAGAGGACCTGTCATGTAAATATGCTATCACATAGGGGGCTTCTGCATTTTTTTTTTTTAAGTCCCCCGCCCCCCACATACTCACGCAAACATGCTTTGGGTGCGCCTACATGCAAAAACGACAACTGCGCCTATTGTTCCACACATTTTACATATCATTTACGAACATCGGAGTGCGTGCATTAATTTTAGGGCCATTATTTACTGATAACACTAACTGATGAGCGGTAAAAGCGTTTCAAGCATCTCCTATGGCCAATTTTCGATGCTGTCTTTTTTTGCGATATTACGAGTGCAATTTCGGGCTGCATCTTAATGGGAAAGGTGCAGCATTCCTGGGAGGGAAAATGGTAGAAAGACTGGAGGAGCTTTTAAACTAGAAGGCTTGACATGTCTGGTGTCTATTTACACGATGTGACCCCATCTTTCATATTTTACCTAAAATATGGGTAAGAATAAATGTTTAACATAACGTAGGGAAAACATTTTTTTCCCCGAAATTTAAAATGGTACATTTTTCATTATATATCAAAAAATAAAAACCCCAGTGGTGATTATATACCACCAAAAGAAAGCTCTATATCTGTCCCAAAACAATGTTAACATAAATTGCAAGGCCGGTCATGCTGACTGGTGAAATTTTTTACTGACTGGTGAGACACCCTAAAATTTTTCAAGCCCTGGAAATACATATCTAACAAATTAATTTAACCAGCTGCAAGCTACCCAAACCCTTTAATTTTATTCACAAAAGAAGATAAAATGGGTTAAAGGGACATACCTCCAAACCTCACAGAACCCCAGTTCCACCCTTTTACGCACATGTCCTTCTCCACTAAGTCAACCTGAAAATGAATCTTGATGTAGTCGGAAAGCTTTTCGAACTCCTGTGTGGGAAAAAAGGGGGGGGGGGGGTAAAAAAAAAAAGGTTTTTGTGCATTCAATAACCGTCAGGCAAAATATGCAATTTTAAAAATTCTATGAACTAGGTTTTGCCATATTTATCATTCATACAGTGATAAAATAAAACTATACTTAATTGTTAACGTAAAGAGATCAAGTCAGTATTTACAGTAAATCTGTGCTTTTGTTCATGCAGGGTGGCAAAGCCACAAGGACAGGAATACATAGATTAAAACTTCTTGTCCTCCCATGGATAACATATTTTTAGCTGGACTCCCTTTTTCTAATGCCATGTAACTGTGCATGTCTGTTACTCTTATTAGACAAATGTTGCAGTCTTCTGCAATCAACTGTATTCTGATGGGATGCACCGAAATGCCATCTTTTGGCCGCAATTGCGTTACATAGTATTTGAGGTTGAATAAAGACATAAGTCCATCAAGTCCTACCTATTGCGTGTCCATTTATGTTTGAGCAGGTGTGTGCGTGTGTATTAGTCCATGTGTGATTTTGCTCTTAGGAGTACCTGTACCCCTTTATATTATTGTCTCCGAGGACTGAAATCACTTCCTGCGGCAGTGAGTTTCAGACCTTAACCGCTCTAACTGTGAAGAACACGCTGCGCCCTGTGTGTTGGAAAAAAAAAATTCCACCAATTTTTGGTGGTGCCCTCCTTGGTCTTTGTTACGGAGCTAACCGTAAACAAGAAAATCATGTTCATAGTTCAGGTCCTCGAACCCCTTAATTGGTTTGGTTGCCCTCCTCTGGACTTTTTCCAGCTCAAGGACATCTTTTCTGAGTATCGGTAACCAAAACTGGACCGCATACTCCAGATGAGGCCGAACCAATGATGTGTAAAGTGGCAAAATTATAGACTTGTCCCTGCAATACATTCCCTTCTTAATGCAAGACAGGACTCTGCTTGTTTTGTTTACAGCAGCCTGGCACTACGAGCTGTTGTTCAATCTGCGGTCTATAATGACCCTCAAATCCTTCTCCGTTTCCGACTTCCCTAGTTGCGTACCCATAAGTGTATAGTCCATTTGCCTATTTTTAACTCCAAGGTGCATTACCTTACATTTATCGACATTGAACTTCATCTGCCATACAGTTGCCCACTACTCTCCGTGAGGTTCAAAGTGTGGTTTCTGAAGAGTCAACAAAACCAAAATGAGGTCCCACGGAGTCACTGGAGTGCATAGGGCGGGAGGCCCCCTAACCCACTGCACAGGTCTGGACAACACAATATTGCCCAAAGGGAGCCTACCAGGAGATTGACCATCTCCTGGGCCAGTTGGGAGCAATGAGGATTACTGGAATGCCCTCCATCCTGATCCTGCAAAAAGGCAAGGCAAGATTCATAGGAGGGAAGGCGTAGATCAAGCTGAACTGATCCCACAGAGTTACCAAGGTATCCATTGCATAAGCCCAGGGGATCCCTGGTCCTGGCAACAAACTTGTCTAGTTTGCTGTTGAATCTGAATGCTAGGAAGTCTGGTGTCCCCCACCTGCAACAAAGGACTCCAAAACCCACTGGGTGAAAAGGAACATTCTCCGGAGTCCAGACATTGAAGACTGAAAAAGTCCACCTGACAATTTTCCACACCTGGAATGTGTACACTGGACAGGGCCGTGACATGAAGTTTCGCCCAACCTACAATCAGGTCTGCTTTTCTTTGAGCTACGCAAAATCTGGTGCCTCACAGATGGTTGGTGTAAATTATGGCTGTGGCGTTGCCTGACTGGGTCCTGGTCAGGTAGCCCTATAAACTGAGGGACCCTGTAAACTGAGGGGACCAGCACTGAAGGGAAAACCAAACTGCTGATCCAGAGGTCAAGATTCCACTGAATTTCAAGCACCAGAATGGAGATCCACCAAACCAGGACAAGCCTGGTCTTGCTGGACAGAGAAACATGGAAGTCCATGCTGCAACAGCATGGAGTAAAATTGGGCATATGGGACTTCTTTGAAGGAGGCCTCTATTAGGTTCAGAACCTTCATGCAAAAGTGAATGCATGTTGGACCTCAAGGTTCTAGCATGGGAGCAGAGAGATTGGATATTTTCTGAGGAAAGAAAGACCACTGGATGGGGCCATGTTCAAGAATAGGCCCAGGTACTTCAAGTCGCACAAGGGTTCCCGGGTTGACGTCTGAAGATTTAGAAGGTCATCTGAAGTTCTGCATCTTTCTTTGGATGGTAAGGGTTGCGCCGACTGCTCTCTGAGGAGGTGCCCCAAGTACCCTAATATGGGGGTCCTCCCAGACCAAAGCAGAGCCATAAGAGTGGCCAGCACCTTGTGAAAACCCAAGGTGCGGTGGACAGGCTGGATTGAAGGGCAACAAATTCATAATGTTGTATACCCATAGCTAAACAAAGGTAGCACAGGTAAGCAGGAAACATGGGGATGTGCAAATATGTATCCTTGATGTCCATCGACGCCAGGAAAATCACCTAGATGAAGGGAGGCAATGACTAACTGGGTAGACCCCATACAGAACCTTTGGGCCTGCAGGAACCCATTGGGAATCTTTAGATCTAGTAAAGGGCAAACTTCCTTTTTCTTTGGGAATAGTGAGTAGATTGAAATGGAACCCCTAAAATCTGTGAAGAGGGTCTGTTCCCAGATTTTGTGGATTTGGAGGGACAGGACTTACAATAGAACTGAATACCCATGCATTAAGAACTTTTCTTAAAGGAGACAGCAGAGGATTTTGCTACTGGAAGTTTTGGCATCTGAGGTAAGAAGTACTCTTGCCTCCGTGACTTCCTTGAATTCACTAAAAAGGTTTTCTCCAGCAAAGGGCATGTGCTCTAGGCGCTTCCTACATGGAAGCTCCTCAGACCTGCATTTTAGTCACAGGCTCTGTCGCACGTGGACAGACAAGAGAATTCTGGATATTTGCGAGTACCTACCAGGCCACCAACTGAATAGCACAGGGGCACAGGGAAAATGTCTAGCCTTTTGCGAATGGCAGGGTCCGTCATGATGGACCCAGGGTCCCTAGACAGAATTAGACATACAGATAAAGTCAGACACACGAGCATGAAGGCAACAGCAGATCATCATAAACACAATGCTTCCGCATTGCATTTAAAGTTTGAAGAGGTATGATGTCACAAGTGACATCAAAGCTCTTCTAAGTACAGAGGCTACCACAGAGCTGTTGCAGCATGATACAGCATCTCCCTGCAGCAAAATTCACTGCCATAGTCATCTATTTCTAGTTGATTGCAGCCAGCAATAGAGCACTATAAGGAGTGATCTGTTGCTTCACAGCTAGATTGGGGGGGTGGGGGGAGGTCTGGATCAGGTTGCTGCTGACAAGAGTCATACACGATGAAGAAGGAAAAAAAAAGTGTAAAAAAAAAATTAAAAAAAATAGAAAAATAAAACTGTACACAATCTCGTAAAAATAAAAAAAACATTCCCTCACAAAATGAATCCCTAGGTCAAAACAATGTGAGATGATCTAGAATCTATGTCACATTTGTGTTTAGCAATAGCACAATTGCATTCACATTTTTAGTATTAGCATTAGCACAATAGCAATAGCATTTACATTTTTAGTGATAGCAAACCTGTAAAAAAAGCTAATCTCTGCCTTTTTAAAAATGACTCAACCATACGTTAACAATTTAAGCAAACCCCTTTCCTCTTGCATGTGTCACAATGTTGCATCAAAAGGGGACAAAAAAGTTATCCTGAAGAAAAAAACACATACTTTTAGCTTTACTAATTCACTATGTTATCAAATCCTAAAAACATACGATGCTTCATGCATCACTGGTGCAATAAAAAGATAAAAACTTTAATGTGAAAGATAAAAATCAGAGTTAGAATTACCAGTAACTGTTTTTAGAAGTCTTTCTAGGAGAGCACATGAAAGAGAGCACATGAGAGAGAGCATGACTCCACCCCCAGAGGCAGGAAACACAAACACGTCAGGCCTTTAAAAGAACGAAACTGAAGACAAACATATACAAAACATACCAAATAGGGAGGGAACCCTGCTGTCCTTGAAAGACTTCAAGAAACGGAGTTGCCGATACGTCTAACTCTGATTTTCTCTAGTCTTTCCAGGACAGCACATGAGGATAAGCGAGAAACTTACCCATCAGAGTGGGAAAGACCTGAAAGACATCTGAAACATCTGAAAGACCTTGGGAAACATCTGAAAGACCTTTCTCCCAGAAGGTGGAGCAGTTAGACCCGGTGGCAGAACAGCAGATTTGTTCTTGAGTGGCCCCGGCCCGCTCCGCCCAGGAGGTGGCTAAGGCTCTAGTTGAATGAGCCAAGGACCCAAAAAGGCAAACCTCCCCCATTGCTGTATATGCTGAAGCAATAGCTTGCCTAATCCATCTAGCAATAGTGTTTTTTGAAGCCTGCGGGCATTTTTTTCCCCTGCATGTCTAACTCTAAACTGATGTTATTATATTGGTATGAGTTTCTCAATTCACATTATTTTAAATCCACAAAACAAAGTAAAATGTCTAATATAATACATACACGTATAAAAAAAAAAATAAAAAAAAAAACAAAACCAAGAATGAAATAAAAAAGTTAGAAAAAAAAACAACCTATAATCAGTTTCGGCCTGACAAATTCTGCTACTGGAGGTGCGTTGCAGTGGCATTAATTTCAGTGGCACCCCAAACGCGCCCCGAGCCGCAGTGTGATCGCCCACACTGGAATGCGTCGTACTGCAATGCCGTGCATTCCAGTGTGGTAAAATTACAAAAAATGTACAGGCAGTTTTATTCCGGAATAAACTTTATGTTTGTAACAGTCCATTTGTGTATTTTATTTTAAATAAAAGATGGTATTTAATTTTATTTTTTTTATCCGATTAAGCAGAAAAAAAAAAAAAAATTGGCCAACTAATCAATTATGAAAATAATAGTTAGTTGCAGCCCTACTTTTAACTAACAGGGAAGGCCCTCCTTTTGTCTGCAGTGCAATCTAGAACTGCCACCAGACAAGG